CTTCTCTCTCTCTCTCTCTCTCTCTCTCTCTCTCTCTCTCTCTCCTCTCTCTGTGTAACAGTCCTGGCTATCCTGTAACTCGCTTTGTAGACCAGGCTGGCCTCAAACTCATGGAGATGCACCTGCCTCTGCCTCCCACCCAGCTTAGGCCTGTCTTTCAAAATGCCATGTGCTATATATCCTGGGAACTCAGGTGGCCTATGGTCCACACTCAAAGCAGTGCCTGTTCTTAGGAGCTGAGTCCCCTGGGGCAGTCCTCCAGCACCTTAGATTGGTGTCCTAAGAGGAGGAGCCTGGGTGGTCCTGAGCTCCATAAACAGGTGTCTAGTCAGGGCTGGGAACTGTGAGTAGAAACAAGTCTGAGGGTGCCCAGCTCTGGCTCTGGGCAGGTACCCTAGGGACTACCCCACCCTTCCTTACTACCCTGTCTGGCCCTCACAGGCCCTCCCTCCAATTACCTTGCACTTGAACCTGACCGTGTCTCTGCAGAGGCTTATCAATGATTTACTGCCAAGTTTCTGTTTCCACCAGGTAATCACAAAAGAGGGCTAGAATGGCACCCTGACCTCCTTGGCCCCTTCCCTCCTCCAGCCTTCCGCCTGCCACTTGTCAACAGCCCCTCCCCTATGTTGCTCACTTTCCCTTCAGTGTGCCTGAAGCAGGTTAGCCATGTTACTACAAAACATCCCAGTCAGTGCTGCTCCAGTGTGGGTCCTGGGTCCAGTGGGTGGCCTGGGGCTGAATGAAACTCTAGCCAGCTAAGGACCCAATAGGTAGCTATCATCAGGTGCCTGGAGCCTGTATGGCAGAACCGGGACTCATGAGTATAGGAAATTCAGAGGGAGACAGTTGTTAGCCTGAGCTGACAGGGTCCTTATTCTGCCTGTACATATATATAGATTGCACATCCCTATGGGAAATGTGGCATGTCCCCTTCCAGATTATCTTGAGTGCTGGGGATTATGGGGAGCAAATGGGGTAGCTCAGCTGGGCAATGGGGGCACACGTGCGCACGCCTTTAATCCCAGCACTCAGGAGGCAGAGGTAGGTGGGATCTCTGAGTTCGAGGCCAGCCTGGTCTACAAAGCGAGTTCCAGGACAGGCTCCAAAACAACAGAGACCCTGTCTAAAAAAATCAAAGGAGAAAGGTGGGGGTGGGGGGCTAAAGAGTTAAAATCTAATGATCAAGTTACTGGAAAAGAGTATTCCAGAGTCCTCGAAGAATGGCCAGGTGGGGCCCATTGGTGAGGAAGGCCACGGCAGCAGCACAAGCATGGCAGTATGTGGTGGCAGGGGTTGGAGGGAGGGATTGGGTCGGCCATTATAAGCCCCTCAAACCCAATGAATGGCTGACTCCTGAGTACTCGGGCCATTCCTTTCTTTCTCCTCCTAACAGACCGGCTGCGGGGACCTGGACTCAAGAGGCCTGCAGGATGCAAGATGCCACAGACACAGTGCGTGGCCTTGTGGTGGAGCTCTCCAGTCTCAAGTAAGGGCAGCTCAAGTCACCAGAGAGGATAGGGAACAAAGTAGAAACTGAGGCAGGACTACAGGGGAGGGAGTGGAAATGGGTATCTGGTTGTCCTGTCTCTGCCTCCACATTTGTGTGGTAGAATTTCTACTATCACCTCTGACCTGCATGGCTCAGGCTTTTACGTTCAAAGGGCAGGATGTGCCTGCACCTGCCATTTATGCACCTGTGAGGAGCCACCTGGCAGGTGTGGTCAGGTCGGCCCTGTGCATGGGAGCCCCAGCTAGTACTCCTTATTTTCCTTTCGTCTACAGCCGGCTGGTTATGAGCACCCACCGGGAACTGGAGGCCTTCAAGCGCAGGAAAGCCAAGCCTCTGCCTTACCTGACAAAGGGGTTGGGGAGCCTTGCTAGAGGGGATCAGGGCTGGAGGGACCTGTAGGCTGTTCCAGCCTGGACCCCCTAAGCCTTCTAGGCCGTTGGGGGTCAGTTTACCTGGGCTCCATATGCCAGAGGCTGACAGCTACCCCAGGTGCTCATCCCGCTTCCAGAGCCTCCTGAGCTGAGCTGCAGTTGCTTTTCCATTTGTTTCGGGAGGCGAGAGGTGCTCTTTGTTCTTTTCCGTTTTTGTCCATGTTACTTTTGGGAAAGCGGCGAATAAATGGTGCAGTCATAGCCCGTGAATCACAACTGTGTGGTGGAGACGTTCCCAGCTCGTATGTTCTGCCCACAGACCACTCTACCCTCCCTTCCACCTTCTGAAGGCTAGGTATAGGGCTAGCCAGGACCACTCCTGCCAGAACACAGGTCAGGGGCTCCCCACAGCTCAGTGTCCCAGGTTTCTAGGAGGATGGTTGTGTGTACACTGGTCACATCCATACACAGGTGGAGAGCACAAAGACAAGGTCCCAGGCAGGGTAAGACCCCAGCCTACTGCTTAGGAATGAGCTCTGATCATCTACCTTCCCTTACTCTGCCTCTGCACATGACAGTGTCTGGCTGCGACTGTTTGCTGAAGTACATGCCTAGTTGGCTCAGGCCTCCCCACTGAGCCTCTTCCTAGGGAACCCTGTGAGACAGGCAGGGTATGACTAACCCCACAGTTCCTCCTGTCTCTGGGCTCAGACTCTGGATGTTGGGCTATGCAAGGAGCTGTTGCTGCCCCAATGCCACTCACAGACCCCAGGCTACTAAGAAGCCCTTCTCCAGTCACTGTCCTCTTCCCTGGCTCCCAGCCCACCCCAGACCAGGAACAATGAGGGTCCCAGGAAGAAGAATAGGGACTGAGAGTGAAGCCTCAGGCCAGTAAGATGAATGCAGGAAGTGCTCTTCCCAGCACCCCCTAGGACATGTGGAGCTGAAGGAGACGAAGGTGTGATGACCCAGTCAAGCCTGTCACTGCGTTTATGCCAGCCTGTTTCCCTCAAGTCCTGTGAGCCTTCAGTGCAAGGGGAGGCCCCTATTTTGCATATCAGTATGCAGTGGGTGGCTGGGAGTTTACACACCTCACAGCTGCCCTAATGGTGCCTGCTCCTGATTCAGCTCCCCAAAGTGACCCCAAGATTTAAAGAGCAGTTTGTTAGATGGGAGGTGACGGAGTGAGGATGTGGTCTGTAGAGTAGAGGGGTCCCTGCCAGCCAGATTCACGCCAACTTGTCCCAAGACCAGGCTCCACTCTTTACCATTTATTGGGTGCTGTTGCAACAACACAAGCAGGACTAGGGTGGGGGAAGGGCTGGCGATCTCCAACAAGACTGGCCAGCCTCAGTGCTAAGCAAGGTCCAGTCTCCAGCATGCCTTGGCAAGGGTACCCCATGGTCCTCCCCACTCCAAGCTCCTAGGCCATAGTGGAGGGATTGCAGGCCGAGGGTGAAGGTCCAGAGGGCTTCCTGCCACTTTTGGAACCTGGAGATGGAAAGCAGAGGAGAGAAATGTGAAATGAGGGGCTCAGATAGCTGAGCAGGTTACTCATGATGGCACTTGGGGCCTCCCGGGCTGCTGAGCCACCTGGTGACCACACCTGGGATTGTCATCCTGGGACCCAGAGCAAAGCACAAAATGCCACTCAAGTGACAGTGATATCTCAGCCAGGCTGCATGGAACCTTGCATTTCTTACACTCCAAATGCAATGCTCAGCTTGCTGTGACAGCATGCTAGTGAGGACACCCTCCAATACCAGGAAGGTGTTCCTCTCCCTTCAGAACTCTGAAACCATCATCCCCATGTAACTCCTCATCGTGAGCTTCTCAGGGCTGAGTCCCTTCAAGATCCCACTGGGAGGAATGGGGCTGTGGTGCTGCATGCAGAAGGCCCTGGGTTCCATCTCCACATAAGACCAATAACATAAAGTTCTTAACAGGCAGGCATGGGGATTCATGTCTATTCCAGCATAGGAGGCTGAGGCATATTCAACTGTCTCGACAACAACAACAAAAACTTCACAGAATGGGATTCTCACCTGCAGATAACCGGCCTCTAACCAGAGTTCCACTGCAAGGTTTATGGAGACACCCAGTCCACTGCCACCCTCTCGGAGTTCCCAGACTACCCAGGGAGACAAACACACAGCGAACAACCAACCATGGTGAAGCAGCCAGCAGAATACCTGAGTGTCCCACCCTCAAAGTTTCAGTTTCCCTCCTTAGGCCTCAGAGGAAATGAGGCCTGCAGAGCCATTAGACATGCAAGCACCTGCCATCCCAGCACACTACAGGACAGCCTGAGCTACAAAGTGAACTGCTGTCTCAAAAAGAAAGAAAGAAAAAAAGAGCTAGATTACCAAAACCCAGCACCTTTGCAGAGGACCCCGTTTGGTTCTCAGCACCCATGTGGCCGGTCACTCACCACCAGCGTGACTCAGGCTCCAGGGCTTCTCATATCTCTTCTGGACTGCTCACAGGTGGCACACAAACATACGTGCAGGCAAAACATCCACACTCACCAAATAAGATTATCTGCATCTCAGCTGGGTGGTGGTGGCACACGCCTTTAATCCCAGCACTCCGAGGCAGAGACAGGCAGATCTCTGTGAGTTGGAGGCCAGCCTGGTCTACAGAGTGAGTTCCAAGACAGCCAGGGCTACACAGAGAAACCCAGTCTGGAAAAAAGAAAGGAAAGAAGAGAGAGGGAGGGAAGAAAAATAAAGGGAAGAAAAGAAAGAAATGCCAGGACAGCATGCACAGGGGTGCTATGCTATATATAGCTAGACCCTTGCCTCTGAAATCCTGGCCCTAGGGTCCATTGGCATGTAAACCATTAAAACTAAATAGGGCCATCGAGAGCTAGTTTTATAGTTAAGAGTGTTGGCTGCTCTTCCCAGAGGACTGGGATTAAGTTCCTAGAACCCACATGTTGGCTTCTAACCATCTATAACAATTCCGGGGGATCCCACACCCTCTTCTTAAGTGCACGGGCACAGATATACATGAAGGCAAACCACACACACACCTAAATCTTTAAAAACCTTTTAGTTTTAGGTGCTAAGGCCTGGCCTTGGAGGGTGTTGCTCTCATTTGTCGGGGAGATGGGGAGACCCCACACTGTAACAGCACAGATCCACCAAGCAAGTTCCTGAGGGGTCCCCATCCCGTCCCCCCCATTCCTACCCTGCTGGCTTGGAGCAGAGTCTTCAGGTCCATGACAGCCATGGGGCTCTGGAACCCTTCTGAGAAGCCTCCTTGCTGTGTTTGTGGTGTGGAGGTCAGAGGACACTTGAAGGAAATCTCCTCCTGTACGGACCTCAGAGATCAGCATTACAGGAAATCTTTACCCACTGAGTCTTCATGTTGGCATGGCACCCCAAACTTTTTATGTTTCTGAATGCAGAGCAAACTCAGGGTCTCTTAAACACTATGCATGAGCCCTAACTTCAAACTCCCTTAAGTGACACCCCAAAGATCCAATTATCTCTAGCCACCCCACAGCACATACCCAGTCACACGGACTGTATGATAAAAGTTTCCAAGAAGCCCAGGCCACACCTCCCACCTCCAACACCAGAAATGAAGGAATTAAGACTCCTAGAAGTCACCTTCTCCAGGAAGTCCTGGGTGGCACCCCTTCTTCTGAACCAAGTGCTCCCCGTTCCAGGCGTGAAAGTATTATTTGGCAAATGAACAAATGATGTCTGGGTTCAGGAAGGGTTTAGCAGCTTCTCCCAATCTTTTTTTTTTTTTTAAAAAAAGATTTATTTATTATGTATACAGTATTGTATCTGCCTGCAGGCCAGAAGAGGGCACCAGATCTCATTACAGATGGTTGTGAGAGAACTTAGGACCTTTGGAAGAGCTCTTAACAACTGAGCCATCTGCCCAGCCCCAGCTTCCCCAAATCTTCACAACTCCTGATCCCCAAGTAGAAATCAGAACTCACCACCACACCCTAGAACATCTGACTACCCCGTGCCTGAGTTGTTCAGAGGGAGAGTGACTTTGTTTTCTGTTTTGTTTTTCCAGGCAGGGTTTCTCTGCATAGCTTTGCTCCATAGACCAGACTGGCCTTGAACTCACAGGGACCCACCTGCCTCTGCTTCCCCAGCGCTGGGATTAAAGGTGTGTGCCATCACCACCTAGCAGGAGAGTGACTTGTGAAAGACCACACAACAACATACACCCCACACTCCCGAGCCATGCTCCACCACACAGCAACATACACCCCACACTCCTGAGCCACACTTGAAGAATGCTGTCAGTTCTACACAACTGGTTGCTTAGCTTGCAAGATACTGGCATCACACACACGTAAACACCCCAAAGAGCTGAGAGCCTAAAATGGGTCCCTTCTCCACCCAGTCCCTACACCACCTGCATAGACACCTGCTGCTGTTTCTCCTCCAGGGCGGTGGCCAGCATCCTGCGACTTTGCCTTGTCCGGCCGGGTCAGCTTTTTGCCTGCAGAATTCCGGGTGGTGTAGCAGTAGACAGAAGTGTAGCCCTGGCCGGTGAGTGGGCAGAAGCGTCGAGTGTGGGCATGCTCCTGAGTGGCCCCACACTGGGGACACACATAATCCCTCAAAATGGGACACAGCACCCGGCCAGCCTCATCCTTCAGGACGTGGGATTGGTAGATGGCACGGGACTCCCCGTTGTGCTTGCAGAAGGAGCACAGGCGTTCAGGAGCTGCTGAGGATTCCTTGCTGGCCTTCTGGCTTTCTGGGCCTGGCTTGGGCTCTGGTTTGGGCTCCAGCCTGACATCAGGCTCTTCTTCCTCATGCAGAGCCCCAACCAGGCTTGCTAGACCCAGGTAATCTGTCCACAGATTGAAAGTCCCCATGGCCGGGCAGAGGAGCAGATTGAGGGAAATCGCTGCCTGGCTCCTGCTTCAGTCTCTGAAGCTCAAGCTTCTCTGGCTGCTTTTCTACCTTGAGGGGATGTGAGTGGGTGGAGCAGGCAGGCTCTGGGGGGTCCCTCATTGTCACTGGGGGCTTCTTACATACCTGCCCAGGGGGTATATGGTGTTTGTGTGGGCTGGAGGTAAACCAGGAGCCACTGAACCCCCAAGGCTTCCCCTCCCTGTGGGAGGTGGTCAGCTAGGTAAAGAACTCTGCCCCAGGGCCAAACACATTGACCGTGGTTTACTAATTTTTTTTTTCCCTCTTCCTTCCCCAGGGCTGGAGAAGAGACCAGGTGGCCTTGGAGTTAGCAATCCTAGAATTTAGGAAGGGGCCTGTGCATGGAGGGGGGTGGGGCGAGGACTGGGTCCCAAGGCTCTGGCTTCACTAAGGGACTTCTATGCCCACTTCAGCGGCTGGGAACGTAGTCATCAAGTGTGAAGGACAAAAAGAAACAAAAGGAGGACATGACTGCCCCTGCGTGGTGGAGAAGGCTGAGTGTAGATAAAAGGGACAGAACAGGCAAAGGCAGAGACATCTGCAGAGTTCAGAGTGGACATGACCAGCAGATTGAGCCCGGTCATGTGAGGAGAGAGGGAGGGGAACTGGGAATGGTGGCCAAGAGGCAAAAAAAAAAAAAAAAGTAACCAAAATGGCTGGGTTATGTAGGAACCAGAAAAGCTGGGGGAAGGGCGGCCCAGCCGAACTAGAGAAGTTCAGGGTAGGTGACAGGGTATGCCAGCCAGGAGGACCTGTAACAGGCAGGGACTACAGAGGGACACTGGGAAAACCTGGCAGCCAGTGTCAGCTCTGATATGTTAACAGGCACCTCAGCTGTTTGTCCTGTGACAAAGTGGAGACTTCCTCCTTCAGTCAGCTCAAGGTTGCCGTCTGCGAGCAATGAAGAAAGGGAAAGAGCCCTCAAGCACAGGCTGGTAGGCTGCACCCCAGCGCATACCAGCCCTCTGACCCCCAACACTGCTTGCAGTCAGAGGAGGCCTCAGCCCGAGCCTGGAAAAGTGAAAAGTGCTTGGTCGGGAGTCACCAATGGCTGGGGCAGACTTCTGCCCATCTGTCACATGCCCGTCTACCAATCCACCCATTCCAGAAGTCTCACTGAGCAAACATCCACCCTTCCAGGAATGGTTTCTGCCCACTGAGTCCCCACTTTATTTCCCAATTTCAATCTGTCCATCAAAATCCCAGATACCAGTCCATCTCTCAAGGGGAGCAAGTGACAGGCTAAAGAATTTGGGGATACCTAAGGGGTCCTTTCCTCCTCCTCATCCCTGAGACAGTTGTATGGCCCAGCCACAGTGACATTCATCCCCCGGTGGGTCTGGCCTCCTCCTCACAACCCACCGACAACAATGAATGTTGATTGTGACCTTTACTGTGGCCTGAGAGAGAGGCTGCCAGGCTGCCTGGGACATCTCCCAGGTCTAGAAGGGTCAGGATGGTGATGGGGTAGACGGCAGTTCCAGGTCTCGGGGTCCACTCAACGGTCGATGGTTTGTCTGAGCTGCCCAAACTCACCGACAGGTTGAATGTTCCCCCAAACCCTTGGCAAGTTTCTTGGAGAACTGGAGTGGGGAGTGGCCTGGAGAGGTGACGGAGAAGCCAGCGTCCCCTGGACTCCCGTGGAACCAGCCATCAGTTATTCAGCATCAATTGTCTTTGTGGAGACTCAGGAGAAGCAGCACAAATATAAATCATAACGTTAAAAACGTGGTCCCTGCAACAGAGGCGACAATGTGCCTGTCTCAGTTCATAGACTTTATTCAAGGGATGTACCCAAAGTAGTGGCCCTGACATCTCAACAATGAGGCTTAGAACTGCTGCAGCTCCTGGCCAGCCGGGGCTAAAGAGGGAGATAAAAAGAAAGCCTTCCAAAGCGGTCCTGAGGTGCAGATTCCTCCACTAATTCGTGGAGGGGGGGAACGAGGCCAAAAGAGCACCGAGGGAGATTCCTAGCCACCCTGGAAGTCTGCTGGCCACCAGGTTCTGGTCTGGGAGGCGACTGAACCGTAAACAAGTTCCTTTGAAACAAAGTAACTGCTTCTCCTCGGGCAAGCTTGATTGTGAGATAAATAAAGGGGCAACACAGTGTAGACCTTTCTACTTTCCCATTGTCCCTAAACTTAAGTTTCCTCCTGAGCCCACCTCCCGCCCTTGCCCTTAGCAGCCCCAGCAGTGGGCTTAGAAAGGAAGGCAGCACTGCCCTCTACCCACCTACCTCCCCCTACGCCCAGGCTTCTAAATGGTCTGAGGACAGGACAAGATTCCCTAGGCCGCTGGCTGCGGGTGGTGCATGTGCCCACCTGGCACTGCCAACCTGAGGTCCTGACACCTGAATGAGGGATGTGGTTACCCTCAGGGATCTCCTGAGGTCACACAAGACAGAGTCTGAGCACCAAGTGTAACCATGCTTGTGTGAACTGGATGGTGGGGGGACCAGTTTATGTAGCACCAGACTTGCCCTCAATTCAGGCCTCTGCCGGCATCCCTAGGACCCTCCTGCAAGCCGGTCCTTTGAGATCTGCCTCCAAACTCAACCACCTGAGGGGTTAGGTCCCACTGTCTATCACCTTAGTGCGCTTCCAGAGCACCCCCAGAAATCCTTTAGAAGCTCAGCTCCTTCTAAGGTCCACCCCAATCCGCTGACCCAAACCAGACCCCAGAAACCAGCGAGGCTCAGGAAGCACTCCCACCTGGTAGTGCCCTGACCCTACTTCCTCAGCCCAGTTCCCAGGAGTGGTCCTATTCCCACCCCGGAGGCCCGTGTACCTGGCCAGCAGCCCCCCTTTTGAGGCCAGAGGCTAGGGGCAGCCCTTCGTAGGAAAGGCGGATCTCCTGCCTTGGACGCTCTCCGCTCTGTGGAGGTACGAGCCTAGATCGATCAGCGGAAGGTGAGCCGCAATCAGTGACTTTGTACAGGTCGCTACTATACCCCTGGGGAAGGGAACGCCGCGAGTTCAGAACAGTTTATAGGGGGCTTCTGAAAGCTAAAATGGATGTGCAGGAGGCACACAAGACACTGAGCAATGCAGGGCATCTCGCAGATACCCCTCTTTTATTTCTATCAGTGCATTCTGCTTACTGGCCCTTCAGAACTCTGATTTTCTCCGTACACAACGGGAGGTGTTTGCTGTGGGAATTCCCAGCAGGACAGCGTGCCTGTGGGAGTCTGGCCTGGGGGACGGGGCGGAGTCGCCAGGCCCCGCCCCCTCCTGTCTCTTTGTCTGCAGGCGTGGTGCAGGCTTCCCGCCCTGTTTCTGTCTGCGCTTGCTTGCCCTTTGTCAGCGGGGGTCGCCTGTCTGGGTCTGACTGTACCCTTCCTGCGACTGTGTGTCTGTCCCTTCTCTTCCCGGTGCGGTCTGTGAGGTTGTTGGCAGCCATGCCCCCTGGTGTGTGGGGCTCACAGCCCTGCTCTGAGTTCCTGGGCTGGGGGCTGATCGCATACTTCCGGCCACGTGTCTGCGGGCCTAGGGTGCTTGGGCGGGAGGGCGGGAGGTTTGACTTTGAAGTCCCTTAGGGTGGGGGTGGGAAACTGTCTCCTCCCATCCTCAACTCCAGGTCCTGGTGCCCTGGGCACCGCAGCGAGAGGGTCTGTCTGGGAGTGCCCTGGGTGGGCCCTGCCCCTGCCCCAGGATCACTCTGGGCAGCTAGAAAGCTGGGCAGCTGTCCTGGCGGTCAGGTTGAGGTGAAATGCCAGTGCCAGCCAGATGGGGCTAGCTCGACCATCAAGGGGCAGGACTAGTGGAAGGGTCAGCTCTCTGCTGTATAGAGCTCTTGGGGTCTGCAGTGTTCGGTGTGCAATGCCTATGTGTAAGTCAGTGGGGCAGAAGGGAAGAGCAGGTAGGACCTGGAAAACAGAGGACTCATTATTGGGGTATAGTGACAAGACACATGGGGATCTCTATGGGGTCATATGGTCCAGGCTGGCTACACCTCTATATGGCTTCTCAGGTACCCACCCTTCCCACCCAAGCTTCTCCAGGGTCTTTGATAGGGGCACACAGACAGGAGCTCCTGTGTCCTATGCAGCCTATGGACAGTGGGTAGGCCAAAAGGCCAAAATTCCAGACTGGATGGATGGGAGGCCAGGATTGTGGATGAGAGGGGCCTGGCTTCTCCTGGGTTGGGAGCTACGATGAAGGGCTCATTGGAGCTCCAGACACTTGAACTTCTGATGTTCAAGATGCAGGGTGGTCTCTGGCCTGCATCAAGGTGGCTGTCCTTACAAACTCACACCTGTTAATGGGTTCCTGGGGAGTTTTCGGCTCTAAGCTCCTATGGGCTAATGGAGCTCAGTGGGGGGTGGGGTGAGTCTGTGTGCCCGCCATAGTGGGTGGTGCTACAAGTGTGTGGGTGTCAATGTATGTACATCCCTCCTGTGGGTTTGTTTGTGTGTAGATGCCAGCATTATTGTAGGTGGGTGTGTCAAGCTCCAGTTTAATTGCAGGTCGCTGTGTGAGCAGGTGTATGTGGGCGTCTGGGCTTTGCTAGAGTAACTGGGTGACTGTAGTCTGTCGGTGATGGCATCCCTCAGGCCCAGCCCCACTAAAGGCAGGGAATTCACTGAGTCATAGGTGTGTCCCCAGAGTCAGCTGCTGCCTGGCACACAGTAGCTAGCTGCTCAGTGTTAATGGACATGGTGACTGTGAGACCTGTCTATCACCTCTGTGCTTATTGATAAAAGCCTGAGATCATCTAGTGAGAAGCTAGCAAAAAAAAAGGGGGGGCTGGGTGTGGTGCTGAACACCTGTATCCCAGCACTCGGGAGGTAGAGGCAGCAGATCTCTGTGAGTTTGAAGCCAGCCTGGTCTTTCTACAGTGAGTTCCACATGGTGTGACCCTGTCTCAGTAACAACAGTAAATTTTTTTTCAGTTTTTTGAGACAGGGTTTCTCTGTTTAACAAACAACACAGGCTGTCCGGAACTTGATCTGTGGACCAGGCTGACCTCACAGAGATCTTCCTGCCTCTGCCTCCCGAGTGCTGGGATAAAAGGCGTGCGCCGCCACCACCAGTCTTAACTACAAAATATTAAACTGTTGAATATCTGTGTGGCTTCACCCGTGCGTCCTTTCTCTGTGGGTCTCTCTGTATGCATGTAACCAGCAATGTCTTCATGTGTGTAATGAAAGCATTAGGGTAGGAGACTCTGGGTCTAAATTCCATGAGTCGTTTTTGTTTTGACATCAGCACCAAACCCCAGGGCCTTAATCCTCATGCCAGGTTGGTACACTGCTTTAACACTAACGTCCCACATCCCCGGCTAATTGCTGATTTTGATGTCTGTGGAGGTCTGTCTGTTTTTTGTTTGTTAGTTTGTTTGAGACAGAGTCTCCCAATGAATCCCTGGTTGGCCCAGGCTCAGCTCTGCCTGCCTCTGTCTCCCGAGTGCTGGGATTAAAACTGCTCCATCACAACTGGCCTCCACTTTTTAACTTTTTTTTTTTTTAAGACAGCCTCTAAATTGCCTAAGTTGGCCTCAGATTCACTCTGTAGCCCAAGCAGGCCTGGAGCTACCCCTCAGCCCCCACCCACCTCCCAAGGGCTAGGAGGAGAGGCCTGTGCCACCATGTCCAGCTCCATAAGGAGTCATGGCTCTATGGGTGACTCTGTGG